AAGACTATAAACCTCTAAGAACATAGTATTTTCATTTTTTTAATCTATGCAAAAAAAAAAAGGAAACAAAAATGAATAAATTCCTACATGTACAAACAAGTTTACATGTTATTTCTGACACTGAGACTATCTGCAGTCTATGGACCTTGTTACACAGGGGTGAGCAGAATGCGGCCTGCGGGCCGGATGCGGCCCACCAGGCCATTCTATCTGGCCCGTGGGGCCCTTAAAAAGTTAAGAAAATGAATATTTAGCTGCCCCTGGCTGCCTGTCACACGGCCCTCAATGGCTTGGCAAAACTCAGTAAGCAGCCCTCCGCCTGAAATAATTGCCCGCCTCTGTAATGCTACACCTTACACTGTAAGCCGCACAAACGTTGATCAGTATTTGTGCTAGCTCAGGTTTGGAGTTGTCACTTGTTCAAGAGAACTGAAAGATAAGTATATCTCCCCCCCACCATTCTGGACTTGCCTCCTGCCCCTTCATCCAGGGTCAGTGGCAGCTGAGGTTAACCTTTCCCTGCCTGCTCCCCTGGGACAGATGGCACAGGCAATCACAAACAAGTAAGCTGGGAGGGAAGGGGGGGGCAGTGAGCTCGAGCTGGGCCAGTGGGGCAGGGGGATGGGTGGGGTATTTACACTAAGGTTTAGCCTAGAGTGGTCACACCTTAGTGTAACACATGCTGGGTAACACAGATCAGAGATAATCCTGCCCTGGGGTGGCATAGCTTTGACCCGCGTAATGTGTTTAAAACTAGTTTCAGGTGTTAATGTGCAGACAATACAGGGGTTAAGAGCTCCAGGGGCCACCCAAAATTACAGTGTAACAAGGTCTTATGTTATATTCCATAAGCACCCAAAAATAGCCACAGAAGTTAACCAAATGACCTATCTAGATACAGAATAATTTTGAAGTTCTTTTGAAATATATGCATATTTTAGATAGAACGAACTCAAGCACCTCAATTATTTTCATGCATCTTTAATCCTTTTGAAAAAACAACCCCCCCCCCCGCCAAAGAAAAAAAAAGAGGAGGAAGCTTAGATCAAGGTTGCATTGGAGCTTTTTCCATATTGCCTTTTGGCCATGGACAGAATTTTATGTAGATGAAAATATTGGGGCATATTGTCTTTCTAGGATATGCGTGATAGTTCACTGATGGTAAAAGCTGCTAAAAATTCAACAGGTCTACAGATACTTATGCCTCATAACTGGAACTAGTCAAGAACTTTCCAGTGATACCTTTTTGTAGGAAATGAAAACATTTTTAGAAAAAGAACATTTCAATTAATTTGTCAGGCAATGTTCTTTGGATAGATGTAATATCTTTTATTAGACCAGCTGATAAAAGAGATCATATCTACCCAAAGAACCTTGCCTGCCTACGTCCATAAACCAAAACAGCTACAACCAAAAACTGCTTGAATAAATTTGGCTGAAAGAAAATGGGGAAAAGGTTTCAAAGCTTCTGAGACTTTTTCAGAAGTCCATAAAATTGTATGTTTTATTAAAATATTAATATAAAACATAGAATTGTATTTAAAGATTGAATACAATTAGATTAAAAGGCTAATACAAAGCATGCCTGTTATGGAAGACCTCTGAAAATGGGACCACCTGTTACAGAAGACTTCCGAACATTTTAAATTTTCATTATCACATTGGAGGAACAATTTTTGAAATATGAAAGGCTTTTTTCTGGAATTAGAAAGCTATTTCTAAACCAGCCATGTGGCTAATTGGAAACAGTAGGAAATCTGCAGTAAAAAGTTCTTATGGAAGATGTAACAGGCTATATTTGCTATCCTCATTTTTATGCAATGCTTCCAAAGGACTGTTTATACCAGTCTATGTCAGTGTTGTTTTCCTAGAAGTCTAGGTTTAGAAGCTGAATGTCTGAAAATCAGTCAACCATGAAGACAGAATATCCATCTCTACAGGTTCATTGTACCCATCTTGAACTGAAGACATCTGAATCTTTATTTTTGCCTGTTGTGAATAGATCTCCCTGAAACTATGTGATTGAGAGGAGGTTGGTTTCCATCACTGATGGTCAAGTCAAATGGATCGACCTCCTTTATGTTACATTATATGCAATGCTTCTATCGATCTCCTATTCATCTCTGCCGTGAGTGAATGCTGCACTGTATGCTACAAAAAGAACACATGGTTCTATCTGCCTACAGTGGTATGCTACATCTGTCTTGTTTCATTAGATCAGTGTAGGGTGCTGCAGCTCCCTGGGTGCTGCAAGATCCTTTCAACGGTGCCATGGGATTCCAAACATTAGCATTGTTAGGTGTTTGAACAAAGTGCACAGAATAATCCCAGAAATTTCACAACATCGGCGAGGAATCCATAGCGTTAAAAATATTCTGATCTGTTGTAGTCTTTCTAAGTACTTTGCAACAGACGAATTGCTCCATTAATTTTTCTGTAGTGAAAAAACTAAGAGCTGGTATTTTTCCAAAGCGTGTTTTGATTCTAATAAAGGGTGCCTTGAGTCTAACAAGGTTAAGAACCACTGCATTATATTAACATATATGAATGCTTGAGTTTATTTTTGAACTGGAAGGCCCCTACTTTTGTTGCCAGTTAAAAAAATATAAAAGTGAAAACATAGGTGCTAACTTTCTTCAGCCATCAACTTTTTTAGGGAAAGGAACGGGAGCACGAAAGATAGAGATGCTCATATCTATGCTGATCTCTTTAAAGTGCAGAGAAGCAGTTGGGTGGTGTTGGAATAACAAAGTATTGTCATGCTATCAGGCTCAGGACCTGTAGTACTGCTCTCAGTACTGGGTTTATGAATGATGCCTATACTGAATAGTTTCATGGTTCAAATATGACGTTTTTTTTAAGCTTCCTCGGTGGAATCCGTCTCCCAAGAAGATTCCTAAACATGGTACCACTGTGCCAATAAGATACAGATTCACTGTGGCTAGATGGCAGACTCCTGCTGTTTGGATGAGGTCAAGTTCTTTGGTTCCTCTCAAGTCACATATACCATGCCACAATCAATGTGCATTTGGAACCTGAAGGGGTAATGTTGTGATCAGACTGTTTGGCTTTTGGCAGAAGCCCTGAGAGCAGAATTCAACTACTACTGCTTTTCTTTGTGTGAATGGCCTCAGTGCTATGATGAGTTTTAAGGGTATCCCATTGTATTGGAAATGGTGATTTATAGAAACATGTTTTTGTGCAATTTTTGCAGGGAACAGGGCAATAAGCCACTCCTAAGTCTACTGAAAACAGGTAATCTTTTGGAGATACTGTAACTAGGCTGAATGATTATACGTACCCCAAATCTGTATTTCTTTCACACAGAGCTGGAGTTTAATGGAGAGATCCAAAAATGGGAAATCGAGTTATGTTGTGTCAAGACGACAACTATAAGCAAAGGGTTATACTTTTTGCCTCACTACTATTGAAGAAGGCAGACAAGTCTCACTTAATTTTCCAGCACACGTGTAAGACAAAATCTGCTATTTTCTTTATTTGTGGAAAACAAATAATTCCTTTGGTTTTAAAAAACATAAATAGTTTAAGGCAGTGTCTATTAGTCATTAGGTCAAAAACAAAAGCAACAAGAACAACTTACAAGTAGATGCAATGCCAAGGCAAATAGGGTATCAAACCTAAAACAATGGATTGTGGCTTTAGAAAGTACTGGCAAACAATGAGAAACAAGGGTATATATAACTTGTGGAGTCAGGTTCTGACAACGTTAAATAAAGATAGCCCCCTAACCCCCCAAAACAGTGATCCCAAGATACTTTTCAAGTCATCTTAATTACTTCACTGACTACTTACTAAATCTCTAATTGCGTAACTGTTTAGCAATCATAAAATAGGCATGAGAAGGATTAAAAGCATTTTGAATAATGTCTTTATTCTAAATGGCAGATCCAGGAAAAGTTACTTTAGGTAACATAAAAGCAGCACAAATGCCCAATTCAGAGTGCAATGTTCTTCCAATTCTTCTGGGATCAGATGAAGTAAAAATGAATTCAAAGGTGGGCTCAGGCTGCTGCTATGCTGTGCGCATCAATCTTTTCATTTGGGGTACACATAAATAACAGTGACATTCAGTTCCACTAAACTAGTTACAAGCAGCAAATATGAAAAGATATTGTCAAATAAGTTATTTTCTCCTCCAATTTATGACCCATGCATCTAATTTCAAAATCAGTAGTATTAGGTAAATGAGCCAAGACTTTAATCCATCCCATTAAGAGTTACATTATTGAAATCTAGGAAGCCAGCTCTGCTGATCTCTCTTCATGTTCTATATAATCAGATACTGAAGATCGATTAATACAATGCACACCGTGCTCTTTCTAACGGGATTTACTTTTCCTTACTAGACCGAAAAAGGTGAATTGTTAGTGCAGTTACAGTACATGCAACTTGTAACAAGAATCAATACACTTTCAAACTAATAACACTTATCCAACTTTGTTCCCATTCCACCACTAATAAGAAAGAATTAGTTTTGATTTCCACACCTTTTACTCAGCTCTTCTCCCACTCACCTCTCCAAAACAGTCACACAATGAAATCTCTCTCCTGCACTTGAACAATGCTATCCATGGATATGTTTACACTGTATTCAAAAGTACTGCTGAATTGTATAGAGATACACAGACCAGCAAAACTAGTCAATTCAGTTCATATTACAACAGCAACAGCATGGAGCTCAGCCTGAACTGGCCATCAGAATATTCACTCTGCTTCCTGGAAGTGTTTTGTAGACAAAGCTCAAGTAGGATCAAAGAGGTTATTTAAGAACTGAAGCCATGTCTGCTCTGCTCCAGTGCTCTGCCTCTCACTCACTTACGTTAAGAAGAATATACCAACCTCTCATTAAGGCATTTAATACAGATACAGGGCAGATTAGACTACAGAAAATAGGGCTGGAAGGTGGTCACTGAGTCTAACCCCCTACTCCAGGATCATCCGTGCCTAAACCATCCTAGACAAGTGTTGCCTAACCTACACTTAAAATCTTTCACTGATGGAAATTTCACAATGTCTTTGCTTAATACAAAATGCAAGATCATGATTGTCGTATGCTTTATGAATGAATTAGGAATAAAGCAGTCTCAGACAATCGAGTTATGCCTTACAGTTGCCATTTGTGGTGAAGTGCATCAGAAGAGCACTCAGGGAGAGTTAAGTACCCCACAGTGCCAAAGAACCAGCTCACATGTCCCAGCAGCCGAGGTCTGCATGCTACTGCATAGTCACTGGGTAACTGGGCAACCCACCCTTTAAAGGCTCTGCATAGAATACATGTCTGAGGGCCCCTCCAGATGTGCAGCTTAAGGCACAATGGGATCTGATGCATGATCCACACGATCAAGCTTCCTGGTTAAGTGCGTGTGAAGTATAACGTATGGCAGGGGCCTGAGATGCATCGTTCATACCCCCAGAGTTCACACTGTTTACAAGCCAGAGAAAAGACCTCTCCACTATTGTCCCACTAGGAAAGAAAGGAAAAGACTATATGGATATGTTCCTGTTAATAATTTTTTTCAAAGAAAAAAGCAGGATTGGTGAAAAGGGTTAAAAATATTCACATTTACCTTTTGACTGGAAAATTTGGTTTTAATTACACAGATAATTTTCTCAAAGAGGGCTTGCGCTCCCCCCAAATTTTTATTTTAAATTGGAAAAATTGAAATTCCATTTTAAATTGAAAGCTCTTCCCCATACAGAACATGTCAAAGCATTTTCCAGCTGGTAAAGATTGAATTCATATCCTTTGTGTGAACTCACAGGGGAAAAAACCTAACAAGTTTTAAGATAGAACTGGATAAATGCATGAATGGGATTATATATGCTGTGGTTGTCTACAATGGCAGGGACTAGGTTTAATGACTCCCGAGCTCCCTGCCAGCCCTGTGTTCCAACATATAGTTTATACTACAACCAAGCTGAGTGAAAGCGTTAGACCAAATGTAAAAAATGGCTACCCAATTAGTTATCAATCTCTAGTCAGCTGGATTTGACCCAAGGTAAAATGAACCAAGCCTGACTGGAGTGAAAAAGCTGGGAAAATCCTGTTTTGCGGGGTTAGGTAGAATACTTACATGTACTGCTTAATCAAATGTAAAGTATGTTTGGACAAAAGAAAGCTAGAGACGCTTAAAGCAATACATTTATCATCATGCTGTTTTAGAAACCCTAGTTATACTATTTGTTAATTTATTCACTCCTTTTTCAGGGGGTTGGCAAAAGCCAATGATAATTAGATCTGAGACAGAATACCACTCTTTCACAGGGTGACAAGTGTATTTGCAATGTTTTCCTGCAATGCCCTCTGTCTAATTTGCATATTGTAAAACTGAGAATAATGTAGCTCATACCTGTCATGTCTCAGTGCCCTCATATCTACATACACAGTAGTTGGATCTGGTCCAGATGTCCCCTGTAAACAACAATATTACCCAGTTAGAACCTGGTAACTAGACAAAAAGTTAATTTGCAGTTCAGGAATAGAAAATGTGTGCGACTGCTAATTAGGCTAATAAAATGATCACACATATTTTAACTTATTGGGGGGTGGGGAACCCCCTCAGCCTTGCAATATAAAAGGTGAACAATTACAAACATACCTACCCCTGTAACAGTTGTTACCTTATGGATTATAAGAACTTCAAAAGGCTGCCCAACAACCAAATATCAAGACAAGCATTACTGGATTTCAAACAACTGAATATTTAGCAGATTGAGAAATACAAATACGTTAAATGTTTTGCCATATAAAAGAATGCTGGAGTTGCTGAGGAGAGTTTAATGGCAGAAGCTTGTGGACAGGAATGTAAAGCATGATTTGCTGAGATTCATCAACGCATGCAACAGAGCACATAGTTGAAGCTAAAAGTTATTAAAGGTAGCGCACGTGACATGAACCAGTATGGATTGAAGATCTAAAAGCAATTATTCTGTTCCTTTTAATCCTCCCACTACATACTTGTAATGTGTTAATGCCATTGTATTTACTCAGGTAAAAGTGGGCTCCTTTTTTTGGTTTCATTTCAAAATGAAAGGAGCTGATGCAGCTTTGTTAATTGGTCTTTCTGCCCAGTGTTGCACTGCAATTTTGTGCCCTACAATGGTTTTCCCTTATCCAAGTGCTTAAACTCATCACAATATACAACCTAGATTTCTAGGACTAGGAGCTCATGCTTTTTTTTCCACTATACCCTATACCTTGCAGCCAAGAAGAAAGCTAAAAAACAGCACAGCTTTGTTTTGGAGGACTAGAACTTTGGAAAGTCTGTTCTCAGCAGCTTCATGCATCGGAAACCATAGAGTACTTGCAAGAACTCCTACATCAGCTAATTGCATAGATTTTCTACTTGGTGTATGTCATGGTCCAAGTGACAATGTTTTCTAGCTTATTTTAAATAAATAAGCCAATGAAATTCCTAATAATGGAAATATTTAGAGCTAGAAGAAATAGAACCAATTTGCTACCCTATTTTCCTACTACTATGTTTGCTGGTAATTCCATAATTTATTCAGCACCGAACACTGCTATCAAGTTCCACGGGTAGACAAGTTCCATGCCAAAAGGGGGAAAGATTTGTTACTAGCTATTAATATTTACTCTACAAACACTGATCAGTAACCCACCACCGAGACAGAAAGAGTAACACAGCTGCACATGCATGTTAGCCTATTTAGCTTGTAGTACACAAGATAGAACAACCTATCTAGCCATTAATGACGTGATTATCAGTTTACTAATAAACTCAGCAGTGTAACAGACTAGTGCTGAGTGGAGAACTTAAATGAAGTATAGATTCATTTGAAAAAAACAAAACAAAAACACCCAAAACTTCTTTTGCCCTAAGAATTTAAAAAAAAATAGACCTGAGTTGGTTTATAAAATAATCGAAAAGAGCTGAATTTGAAAATTAAAAGACAATCATCTGGTATTTGTTATCCTCAGTGTGAACAAAACAGTCAATTCAGGCTGCTGATAGTCAATAAAGTTGATATCTAGATAAAGCTATACTGGACTCATTATTTTATCATCTCACACAAAGGATCTGAAAATCTCCAAACTCAATGTCTAGTCTGTCCCACTGTTGGAAGCTGATAGGTGGGTATTTAGGGAACGTGAAAATCCCCTACCTGCTCGGCCAGCTTCCCCAGCCTGTGAGGCTATAGCAGCAGGAATAGCAGGGATGAGGGAGAGAAGGAAAGAAGGTAACACAAGACAAAAATAATAATAAACAATGGGGATGGAGGGTGGGAGGAAAAAAAAGAGAGGAAAATGCAAAAAGCAGGGAGTAAAATAAAAAGAAAAACAATGTCAAATACAGAAACCTTACAAATTAACCATTATACCATTAAAGGTTAAAAAAAGTAAAAAATGAGGTGTCAACATTTTAGTAGAGCAACAGAAGAGACAGCTATAGATGACTAACCTTAGACAAACAGACTTAAGTGGTTTTAGGACACTATAGACAATGTTGTTAGTGGAAAATGAATGTTTAGCACACTATCTTTCATGTGAAGATGTAATTAAATATTATGGCCTAACAGTTTAAGGCACATAAAGTGAAATGGGGGTTCAAATTTGCCATTACTCTAACAATTAAAGGTCATTAGAGATTTCCGTTCCTCTAAAAGCAGTAAGTACAGGTCTGTTGGCAAAATTAGTTGACAATGGAGAAAGAATGGATACTTACACATTTTTCATACAGATTAACCTGCTTGTAGGGTAGAATAAGATCAAGCCTTGCATAATCTAATTGCTAAATGAACACAAATCAGTACTACAGAGCTCTTTCATTCTTGGTCTACTAACCCTGACATGCAATGCTTTAAATATCTGGAGCAGTAAAATAATTACTCATCAAAAGAAACTGGTTCCAGCAAAAGATGCAAAAATGCAGAGATGACCATTTTTCTACTCTGAAGCTTGTTGCATCAGACAGCTTGGTGGTATAGTAGGCATTCACTGTGCCCACCTAAACTCAGGAAGACAGCTTGGGACCTGACCCAGCATCTGTGAGACAAGACAATTCTTGGAGCACTGGAGTATATACACCCTTTAATAAAAATATTAATATCAACAAAGTCAGTCTCTCAACTTCATAGTCTTTAGGAAGTTGCCACAGCAGCAGCTAAAAATAGGTGTATTTTGAATGAGGGAAGATGAAGCCTTTTTAGAGTAGGGTGTATTTGCATATTACATTGCTGCTTAAAATTAAGCACATTATAAAATATGTAGATTCAGCACCATAGTAAAACAGCAATTAAGTATCAGAGCTCCTTCAGTTCAGGAAGTTTATGTCCCAAAATATATGCAAGTGTAAAAATATACCCCAGTCACAAAGCCAAGTTTTGAGATTGCCACAAACCACTCTCATAAGGCTTTTCAATAAGAGCTCAATACCCAGCATCTGGAATTTTCATTACTCAGTACATGTCCAGGAGTTAACGTGTATGTGTGTGTCCTACCAACTGGTCCCACTCAGAATTTCAAATGGGGCTAAGATCTGCCTGCAAATTAAGCCTGTAAAACTAAATTCTCTTTAGTAGAAACTTAAAGGCTTGAAGAACGCCATACAGAAGGATAAAAGCACTCTTTTGCGGGGACAGATCTTTCTCATAAATGCATGTGCTGCACATTTATCACACTGTACTGCCAAACAAGTGTGTTTAGAAACCATGAACTGGGCCCCCCAAAAATTCATGAAGTCTTTAAAAATAATTACTGGGTTCTTTTTTATTTCCGTTGTACTAACGTCTTTGTAATTTATGCTTCCATACTTTTCTGTGGTCCAATGAAGCCTACAAATTTACTTTTTTTTTTAGGTAAATACTTGAAAAGCCTAAGTAATACAACTGCAGCAGCTTGAGCTTTAAGGAAAAAAACACTTGATATCATGACTCACAACAAGGTTGTATAAACTAGCAACAATGTACATCAGGAGTTTGAAGAAACTGATCCACAAGTGTACTACATATGCAAATACAAATCAAGCTCAACAAATTTACCTCCATTTGTGGGAACACAAGCAAAATGCTGTTTGCTACTATCTACAATTCCAATTTTTCCTAAATTTAAAATCTGGATTTCTCCTGCAGTTCAAGAGCTTCAAAACAGAATAACTGGTTATTAAGTGGAAAGAACTCTAGCCTTGTCTCCTCCAAAGATCTGCTAACAAAATCCTCTCATTTAGAAAAGTTAGTATACAGTGGGGATCACTGAGGAAGAGTGAACCATCAAAACCCAGTTCTCCCCAGTTAAAACAACATAAATATGTTCTACTTGGCTCTAAGTTTAATGTTATGAAAATGTACTCTTATTTTCCTTCTGAAGATTAAATACGGCTGAAGACATTTCTTTTCCAGCAGATGTTAATAATTGCCACTTTACAAAAGATTTGATGTTAAGGATAATTAAACATGGAAGTTGCCACTTCTCCACCTTCCCTGAAAACTTAATATTCACGTGTTTTAATGAGAATTGTCCAGATAGCTAAGAGTTATAGAAATATGCATCCTACCTTTGTAGTAAAAGGATCAAACCTTCTTTTCTCTTTTAGAGAACACCAACATGTCAGTACACAAGAAGTGAAATATACTGTGTCCAATCCTTTTTTTTAATTTACTCACAAATTAAGTATATAACCTTTAGGTGCCGGATTTGTAAATGTATTTAGAAGCCCTACAGATGCAGACTGGGTCTCAGAAAAAGGTTCAGAAGCAAGTTTTTAAAATATAGTTCAAAATGACTGAGTTTTTAGTTCAAAAGAAACATGCTCATCCTGTTTAAATGGAGTCAGAAGGATTATGAACATAAGCTAATAATTTAGTCTTTCACTTATCTATATGGTGCAAAACTGAAGGTCCTAATGGCTAAGCCACGATCATTCTGTAATAAAGAGCTGTGACAATATCTGCCTTTCTAAAGGATTCACTGCAAGGAAATGTCCCTAAATTCTTTGTTCCTTCTTTGAAGGGAAAAAATAGAAGAGGTCTTGAAGGAAAACGGGAGTACTATTCTTGTAAGAGCCTTTCAGTCTGAATGCATCTTCAGTCTTAATGTGCACATGCAGGTCTGTGCATGCACGCGCGCACGCACATACATACACACAAAGAAACCAGCAATACCCAGAGAATTACATGGGCTTTTTAGAACTATGCAAAAAACAGAATCACTCTGAGTCAGTGGAAACTGCCACCTCAAAATGCTGTTAGTTGGCTATTTTGGCCCCGTCTATACAAAGGCATGGTTGGATCTAATGTGTAGTACATATAATCATGCCTCCTGCCACGCCATGTGTGCATGGCAGGAGGCATGATTGTGGGACTGAACATTAGATTCAATTGCATCTTATTGCTGGTGCAAGGAGAGCTGGATCCTGGGCTCCCCCTGCATCTGTGAGAAGCAGGATCCTACAGCTGGGAGCTCCCTTTGCTAATGAAGCTCCCAGCCATGGGGACCACATGTAGCCAGGACCGAGAGTCCCATCAGCTGTGGGGGTTCTTGATTCTGGCCATGCATGGGGCACAGCCGGGTCTGAGCACTCCCTCAGGTCTGAGCCCCTGCAGCTGTGGGGCACTGCTGTGGTCTCCCAGTGCAGGGCAGGGGGCAGAAGGGGGCTGGTATGTGGACTGTCCCACACCTGGAAGACCACACTGGCTGCAATCTCCCAGCTCTGTGCATTGTGCTCCCAGTTGCAGAACTGCCTACATATGCAAATTAAAGCTGGATAGAAACCATCTATAATTTATTACACATTTCTGAGCAATAACTTTATAGCTAGTTAAGGCACAATAGTTAGTTTTGATGTGTAGCTAGTCCAAATTTATTGCTGATTTAACAAGGTAATCGCGCAATAGACATAAAATGGAGAGGGGCCTTTTAGTGATATTCCCTCTACACTGCACATGCAAGTGCGTTTTGGAAGGTATGGGACATGCTCAGCCCCTTAAACCTCTCTCGTAAACACCATCTGAAATAACAAATCTGGGAGATCTCTTAATGATGAAATCAAAGAGATTACATCCAAGGCATATAACAGCTAACATCCTTTGAAGACGATCAGGATAGGCCTCTCTCTGGAAAAGGTGCAGAGGGTGAACAGTAGGACTTCTTCATAAAGATCAATCCTAGACACAAGTGTTAGGAGGAACCTAGAGTAAGTCTGAAGCACAATACTGTTACAGGTGGCAAGGTTTCAAGGACTTCATCTACGTATCAGTAACCCCCCTCCCATCTGTCCTCTGGTAATATAAACGTTGGGCTTTATAGCAACTGTTGGAATACAGAGAGGCCAAATGCCGCTAGCTCAAAACACTTAAAACGATTTTTATATGACCCAACATTAAAGCCTTTGCAAACAATGGCCATTGCCGGAACACAATGGAGAGACGCTTACCTAAAGAACCCTGCAGAGAAAGGATTAAAACCTCTTCTGTGCTTCAGCTTTGCTTCCAGAAAACAGAATATCCTGCAGTTAAATGCACCCTGCATGTTATTAGCCACTTGTTAGAGGAACTGTCATAATAGATGGAAAGAATGCTCTCTCTAGGTCAGTATCCAGCCTTTGGCAGGGGCAAGTATAAGTTGCTTCAAAGGAAGCAACCCTGCAGAAGCCAGGTATTCTAAAGGATTGCTTTATGTTCTCTGTCGACATGCTATTATTTTGCAGTTACTTATTAAACTAACAGCTCTACTGTCACTTCAAGTTACACTTAAAATCTTCCTTGCTTAAAAGCTTGAAAGACCATTCCACCTGGCAGAGTAATTTTTATAGCACTGTTACCAATGTTTGATTACTTTGAATCAGCAGGTAAGTGTTTTTTCTCAGTCCAAGATCACAATTCTTTAAATAGCCTATTGCTTTTGGTACAGTCTCTAGACTGAGGTGGCTGGTCTTAAGTTATCTGAGCATAATCAAGAAGTTCTGCTAACCTAGCTAAGCAGCTTCAACATTTCTTTCTGGGATATTAATAGACTGGGCTTGCTCATGTTCTTATTGTGTCCATGGTCAAAATCATCAGAAATAGTCATTCTGCAGATGATCCCATCTTGTTTTTTAGATCTGAATAACTTTTCCAGAATCCTGTGTGCATGTATGAATACCCAAGAGGTGCGATTCAGGCAGAAAGCCAAGACTCAGAAAGCAGCAACTGACATTCAAGCAAGAAACCAGCTTGCTGAGGCTTTCAGTGTTAATAACTACCTCCCATTTCTCTACTCATTTGGGCTTCCATATACCATGCGTTCAGGAACTGTTTGAGATTATCCAGAAGGCCTAAATTTTAGAACTAGTCTAGCATTCCTGAAACTTATCTGCATCTTAGTGCAAGCATGGTGTTGCACAGATGTCTTGTATATCAAGTAAAGCAGTCACCTTCATCATGAAACACCGGGAGACCACTGCAAGCCTGAAAGGCATTAGTGGCAAGTGAAAGTCCCATTTTGCAAAAGGAAGCTTGTCTTTATTATCTACAGTGTCCTTCATGGCATGCTCTTGCATACTTCGGAGTGCCAGAGTTCAAGTAACGCTTTGAGAGAGAGTCTCAGAAATGGAGCTTCAGGGACTCACGGACCACTAACCTGATCTGCGTGAGAAATTTTAGTGGATGCTTAAAGCAATCTGTGATAAAGGCAATGCCATCACGTCCCTGAGCTATGGCTTTTCTTGCCTGCAGAGGAAAATCTGAAGCTACTTCAAAAGAGCAAGAGACACAGGAAGCATAACTAGCAGACTGTTGTTACTAAAAGCTAGCTCCTCAGATTTTCTTGGTGTCTGGGAAATCTCTGAGTATGGAGTTACCCTCTAAGGGATAGCAAGTGTTCAGGATCTACTGCACCGATGTTACCTAGATGTTGCTCCTGAAACTACCATATGTTATTTTCCTGAAATAAAATGCAATATTCAGATGTATGCCTGTTGAGCGCCAAACTAAGCCCAGTAGAGTAACTAGAACTAAACACGTCCCTGATGAATAAGCAGTCGGGACTTTCCTGGAGGCAAGTTTCCAAATCCAATTGTTGCTGTTAGTTTTCTTTCTTTCTTCTTTTTTTCAAACAGGAGAAGACTGATTAGTTGTTTACTGAGGTTCTTTTATCAACCTTACAACAACAAGACACTACACGCAGTGAGTGGGAAGCTGGAAAAGTTTCCCTGTGGAGAAACTTTCAGTAGGTGAAACCCCAAAACTAAAGCCATTATTTAAGTGAAATAGGTGGCTGTAGTACTAACAAGAGTATTTCCAAAGAGACTTCTTTTTCTGAGTACAAGACCATTTGTTAACATAAACTGAGCAGAAGAGAGATACTAATTCCAAAGGATTCAGGTATGGCTTTGTTCAGTGCAGGAGGTTTTCTTTAACTTTTCTATTCCTGGAGAACATTTATGGCAGTATTTAGATTAAAGAAGTCTACCTCAGAGACAAGGAGTGACTTTTAACCTTACTCAGCATTGACTTGCCATATATTAATAATTTTCATTAAAGTTGCTGTGTAAATTAGTCCTGGGCTGAAGGGATGTTGTGTTACATGACAGCAAGGTTATACTTATAAGGGAAAGAGTAACTCCAAAAGACTTAGGAGGCATAGCAGATAAACTAAAAATATAGCTCCCAGTGCAACAGGGCTCATACGGTCCTTGGATGAGCAAAAGTAGGAAGTTTTTTTTTCTTTTTATGTATAGTGACATCAATACTGGGATAGTGCATCAAGGTCTGTGATCTAGATTCAGAAAAAAAGGTTGAAAAAGAAAAATGGTTCAAAAAAGAGTAAGAATAATTAACTGTGAATTAGAAAATCTATTTCATAGCAAGAGTTGTATGAATTTCCATTTATTCAGCAAACAAGGTGAAGAGGTGGCTTCATTCCAATTTAAATACCTGAAGTGAACAAGACTTCTGATAGCAGAGGACTCTTTAATTTAGCCAAAAGAGGCATTACCAAGTCCAGTGGCTGAATATGAACCTAGACAAGGTCACATAAGCAGTATGGTAATTTAAAAAAAAAAAAAATAATGTTAACTAAAGCATTCTCTGTTTATCAAGGAACAAACTAATTCTCCATTGCTTGGAGAACGGAAATCAAAACAAGGTATCTTTGCAAACAGGCAGGCACTAGTTCAATCAAGTTATTGGGCTTGTTGCAAGAATCACTAAGTGAAAAAGTCTAAGGTCTGTGTTATAAAGAAAAGCAAACTAGAAAATCACAGTGTGCTATCCATTAGTCAATGAATCAATAAGCTGAATTTCTGGAGGTGAGAATGCAAGTTCCCTGTGGGCACTTTCATCTGATTAACAGGTTAAAAAGGAACTAGACAGATGTGAAGTCACAAAAAATAATTTTTTACTAGGTGTATACTAAAAAGCCTTATTTGGTTAATTAAATCAGTATCAAGACTATTATACACAAGGAAGAAAACAATGTTATGATTCATTAAAGAAAGCACTTGGAAGCAGGGTTACACATTAGATGACTAAACACCAACTGTTTTGTTTTGGAATATGGGGGTACAGTCTATCACACATATGCTCTGGTAAATTACAGTATATCTGGGGCAGAATAAATGCCATGAATGAGATGTGAAGGATGAATAGTGTTTATTGACGGAATACAGAAGTGAATTACTTGTATATGAAAGAAGAACGTCGTACTGCATGCTCAATAAGCTCATGAAACACAACTTAAGCAAGCAGCCAAGTGAAACATGATGAAACCTTCCAGGTGGATACGCCTCACTGACATCCATTTTCAGAGTACAACCAGTCAGTCAGATTTAAGGTGTGGAAAGTCTTACCTGCAAACATATAGCCAGGTTAACTCTACAGCCAAATGATGTGCTAACAGCCCGTGGATGGAGACCCAAGTCTTTAAATAATTTTGAAAAAGACTGAGTGAGAGCTATTCGGGGTCGTTCCTCTGCAACTACTACACAAGTCCGCACACGTGACAGGTCCAATCCCCTTGCCTAGGAAAAAGTTATAATGTAGTGAATGCTACAATTAAACCATTTTAAAGCAATACAGCAAAACATATGTACAAGAATATAGGTAACCAACATTTTCCATTTTCAGTGTTTCCCAAAGGTTGGCTGGTCAAGTGGCAGAGTAATGACTACTATAGAATAAATCTACTTGCCTAGAATTTCTTCTGTAGCACTTAGAAAGAGATGGACCAGTTAGTTTCAGAGTGAAAGAATATTGGTATCCAGTAACGGTTCAAATTTGCAACGAGCAACAGTAAACTGGGAGAGTTAACCAACCTTGAAAACCTCATTTAAAGACAAAAGGCATGAAGAGACTGCAAGTCTCAATACCCCAAGATATGACAACAGGCCTATCAGTCAAGTAATGGAGATTCTGAATGCATAAAGAAAATTTTGCAATTTACAGTGAGACGTGTAAGAGACAACAAATATTGATACCAGAAAATAAATACATTTTTGCATTTGTTAGAGCTGCCTGATTAGAATGAGGAGGAATTTTAAGAAATAAACGACAACATAAATCTCTGTGGCAACAGCTGGTGCTGCTTGTGCTTTGCTCTTTTGTGACAACTCCCAATTTGATTTTCTGGGGAATACACGAGAAGTGCAAGAATTGTTGGGAGGGAGGAGGGAGAGAGGGAGCAATACCATAGGGGAATAAACTGTGTTTCCGGATACCAGGTGTTGAGTTTGGTGGCAGAATGTGGCAAGGCCTCTTCTACTTCTTTAAACCTGCCTACCTGACCTTTAACACTTAGGTTAACACTGCAAACTCAGGTACCAGTCCCCTGGCCTCAGCACCTCTCTCTTCTCATGGCTTTCAACTTAGTCATAGGTAGCACTAGTGATAGCTTCCCTACCCCCTTCCTACCACCACCCATCCTCTGGTGTGCAAGATTTCAGCTTCCAGATGTTGGAAAAGAAACAGCAGCAGAGAAGAGCCAGTGAAAACCCATGAAGAACAAAGGATAAATGGGGGGGGAGGGGGGGACACAAAAAGAGAGAGAGAAAACAAAAAGAGAGCATGAAAAGGAGAGATAACAGAAACTTGTCAGAACACATTTGGGAGAGGACATGGTGGGAAGGGCACTGGTTTAAGGACAGGATACTACTAAAAAGGTGGGAACCACTGTCAGCCATGCAAGATTTACATCAACATCAGGCTCTATTACAGGTATAAAAAAGGATAAGCCCTAGTGGAAGCAAAGTGTGGGTCTTTTTATTGTTAAATGTTTTCTTTTTTCCATCTCTTATCTGTTGTACTACCTTCCTAACCCTGAATCCTGAAAAAATAATGCAGCTGTCAACAAATCAAGGCAGTACTTGATGTCTGATAAATTAAACCCCATGTGTGGTACAAGAGAAAAATTAATTAGATCTCTTCAAAGCAGATACAATCAAGAGTTGCAAAACTGGCTGCAGAACGTTGGGTAAAAATGATCATATTAACAATAGAAGCCGGCCCCAAACTGAAAGAACGGGGGCCTTCTGAGATTTTTCACCAAAGTGAGCAAAAACCAAGCTAGTATGTAATAAAATTAACAAATAATTCCATAATGTACAATTAGAGAATTAGGTAACTCTAAATTATGTACATTTTGGACTTTCCCCCCTTTCTCCTCCATCTCCCACCCCCTTTTACAAACTAAAACAGGTGAGAGAGAAAGGTAGTTAACCCTGATAATCTGAAGTCAAGCAGAAGCTGAGAGAGCTTAAGTAAAAAAGCTCACTCTTTGGTGCTTAACAACCTTGTGATCTGAAAGAGGGCTAGAGAGCAGCAACCAACAGAAATGAATAAAAAGCCTCTGGCAAGGAATTATGCCGGTTCTATTACAGACTGTGCTTATCCCGATTTTTCTCTCCTCAGTGAATGCATTTAATACAAGCCTCCAATGCTATATAAATCTTATACTATGTGGAAAAAATACAATTCCTCACCTTCAGCGATTCTGTTTGTGAACCAAGGCCCTTAGTGCAAAGCTCCATGACCGAATAGGAACAAAATGTGTCTCTGACTTTGTACTGACTCACAGCTAGAAGCCACAGAGCAGGATTGGTCTCCAGTTCTGAAGGAGGAATCAAAATTGACTGGTGTCCTGAATAAACGCTGCAAAGACACAAGTATGGTCAACACATGCTAGACTTTTATTGTGTAGATGATTAAAAACAAAAAGATATACGCATTTTAGGTGTAAACGTTTAAAAAATTATTAGACACATCACATAATTATCTCATCAGGAAGGTATAGATGCAATAGCTTTACAACAAAGGCCAAATTCTATACTTTGCTACAATATAAACCAGGCAAAGTCAGCGAGAATGCAGAACTTATTCCTAACTTGCTAGATTACACAACATACGGGTGGACACTAGCGTTAGGAACGTATGGTTCAGAACACAAATTCTTGGGTTAGTAGCATGAAAATATGTGAGTGCTGCTACAGTTATGGTGTGTGTTACTATTTAAAAATACCTACACAAGAAAAATGCAGTATGTTCTACTCACTAAGAAACTAACCCCAAACCCTCTGAAGTAAACAGGTTAGTTACTGCTCCCAAGGGGGCAGGATCAGGCCCCAAATGAAAAGTGGCTTTTAGATTTCTCGTGCTAAAGTTCTCCTAGCAATTAACTGCTCTTCTGTAACCCAAGGTTAATAACAGAAATGCTATGCAGACAGAGGCATGGAGAGCATGCTAAAGTTTATAAGGTGTCTTTTATCTATTAGCATCCTGACAATGGGAACTGAGGCAGTTAGATTCAAATCCTAGGAAAGTTGTCTGGATTTAAACAGTACTAGCCACAAGCACTTGGGTCTCCCAGCTCCAGTACTATGTCGTCTGGGTCATGGAGTCTCCTTGGAATGAGACCAATGAGGTTACCTGGACTTCTCTCATCAGAAACTCCTGGCAATGATCTGCCCCTGCCTTTTCAAGGAAGCAAAGATGCTTTTCCTCTGGGGACCTGCAGTCCTAATGGAACGCACAGCTGGAATGTCTTTTGAAGACGGAAATCCTTGAAAGCTAAAGGATTCACAGGAGCACTTCTGGACTGAGGCAGAACTTGTCAAGATGGCAGAAGAAAGTGCGGAGGCCAGTTTGCCCTGCCCTTGACAGAGCTGATGGCAAGGTCTCTCAAGACAAAACTAAAGAGGCAGAGAGGCATCTCTCTAACCCTTAAACTCCTGCAGTCAGGAGTGGGGACAAAGTTACGAGACTTGATTTACTGTTCAGTATCTTATCGGCTTTTGCTTGCTAGGGAACTTAAATCTCTTGAAACATTTTGAGCTATATTGTCAGAAGAAAACTGAGACCACATCCCTGTGTAAGTTGGGGCTTTCAGCTGCCCTTGCATCCTCCTGGATTTCAGGTTAGTTTAGCATCCCCACGCCCTTCAATATGTCTAAGTTACAGCCTCCTCAGAGTGTCCCATTGGCCATGCTGGTGCCTTGAAATGTGCACACCTCTGGGCAGCAGCCACACCACCACAGTCCTCTTGCTCCTGCAACATCACCTACATCAGAGCTGTCAGTCCTCAAGGGAAGGCATACAACTGACTCCCTCCTTCCTTATGTAAGGAGACTTGTCCCCTCCCCTTGACCTGGGGCTTTTACACCCCCTGTATGTTGTTGTTATTTAGCTTCAGTTAAGGTAAGAATTCCACCCTGCTGTTTTTCTTCAAGTTAGACCATAAAACTTAATGGCGCTTTTACACATACTCCGGGGCTGGGGGAAGTGGCACTTTCATCTGAGCGGCTCCAAGAGCCACTCTAAAGTGCCACCACATTGAGTCTATCAGCATCCCCATGCTTAAAAATGGTGATGGCGACACTTGAACTAAAGCTGGTTTCATGAGCTTTAGTTCAAGTGCCCCTGCCACCATTTTTAAGCATGGGGACACTGATACATGAGATGCAGGAGGCTGCTGAAGCACAGTAACTGCCATGCTCCAGCAGACTCAATTAATGGAGTCTGCGCTGACGTGCTTTGAGTACAGCACATCGGAGCAGCCTCCGTGCTTGTGTACAGGCACCCTAAGAGGTGAAAATACTTTCTTGCACACTAAACTTTTGCAAGTTGCAATTCAAATGCTGTTGTTTCTGGTACCTCTTTACTTGTAGTTCTAGCTACTTGCTTAACAGAATACTTAGTAACACCTCACCTTTTGCTGTCGACATGACCTAATGGCCTCATCAGGTATTTCACTTTGCTATATCAGGACTGAGAAGAAGCATGGTGAAAGAAAGCACTGCTGTTTTACAAAACAGCTTTTCTATAATACTGTATTTACTTGAAGATAAGAAAACCCCCAATATAAGATGACCCCCTGAATAATTAGATTCTATATATGGAAAAATTAAAATTTTGTTACAGTTTTCCAGGTATAGAATCTAATTATTGGAAGCTTCTCTTGAATTTGTCCCCCTCCCACCATCTCAGCAGGGAAAAGAAATCTGTGGGTGTCAGGTGGCCCCCTTGCCCTCTACCATAGGTGACTGGTGCCTCTTGAGTCAGGGGGAGTGGAGGAGGTCCCCTGGCGGCCGATTGCACTGACCGGGAAAGGGGTGTCCCCTGGGGGGCCAATCTCAATCACCAAAAAGTGGTCGCACCACTTCTGAAAGTCCCACGGCCACTTCCAGAAGCTGCATGTCTGCTTTTGCTGGCAGCCCCACTCTGGTGCTCCTGCCTGCCCCCCTGCCCGTTGCCTGAAGGGAGAGCATGGCTGGCCAGAGGGTGCACGTGCCCCCCCTACACATCGCCACTGCCCTCTACTCCCCCCAATTTTTTCTCCCTGCAGCCCCTTCCCCCCACCCATACTGTCAGACTCCTGTCCCTAAGCACATGGAAGTGAAGGGCAAATTTGAAAACACTGATTTGCAAATAAATATGCCTGTAGTAAATTATTTTGGGTACCCATAGACTTAGTTCATCCAGAATTGATACATTTTACCTTTTTTGAAACTGTTTCATATTTTAGCACAGATATGCTATGAACACACTTTTAAGCAACACTTTTGTAAGTACTTACACACAGCACAGATGGTATGAGACAGGATGGAGGAGTAGGTGAAAAGGGATTCTGGGTGAACTGTTTGGGCCCCATTTGGTGATGTCTGCCAGACATTTAAGGCTGGTGAAAAACAGGAATAAGTGGAAATGCGAAAGGTGCAACCCCAATGTGGGAGTGAAGAGGAAGTAAAATGTATGGGATGCAGTGGCTCACCGTGACTTGAAAAATAACTTGTGCCAGGGACTGAGCTACAGTAACCTGTCTTTGTGGGAGGTTCCCATGAGTATGCCTGCTAAATAGGGGCTATGCATTTTATTGTCATGCTCAGGGTTGGCTTCATAATACATTTCTGTTACTGAGCCCATGCTGTTTTTAGCAGAAGTTTAATGACAGACAATGTATTTAGTGAGGAGTCCTTGTATGTGAATGTAAGACGAGAAGCATTTTTTTCCATGATGATTGGCAGGCTGGGTGGGGGGAGGGACCTCATCTTGTATTCAAGAAGTAAGGTAGTACTCCAATCAAGTGCCTTGGTGGATTGGAGAGCCTATTTATTCTGGTGTTGCATGACTGTAACTAATATATGTACTATAAAAATCTTGATTTTAAGTATTAAGTTATTTCATTTGAGGAACTGCATGCTCAGGGGCAACCAGCACGGGTTTGTCAGCGGCAGGTCCTGTCAGACCAACCTGGTGGCCTTTTACGACCAGGTCACTAAATCATTGGATGCAGGGGTGGCAGTGGATATAGTTTTCCTAGACTTCAGGAAGGCTTTTGACACTGTCTCTC